ACCCGCCTCCCGCAGGGAAAAAACACGCAGGAAGGGACCGGCCGCGCGCACGGGGCGCCGCGGGCTTTATTGGCTGCGGTAAGCGCGCTTTCCGCGCACGTACATCAGCAGTTCCAGAGGTTTCAGCGATCGTGTTTCAGCACCAAGCATCTCCAGTCGTTCAAGAGGAGGAGCCAAGCTTCAGCGCCAGCAGACCCCGTGAGGGACGCCCTCGCCTCGCGCTGCTTTACCAGCGTCGCACCCCAACCGCAGCAGCCACACGCCCGGGCACGCGCGTAGCGCCCCGCAGCAGCGTTCCTGTCCCCGGCAGCTCGGGGAGGGCGGCTCAGGCAGCGTCGCGCGCCAGGCGGGCGGCGAGCTCCACGAGGGTGCGCGTGGGGCGGCCGGCCATGCCCTTGCGCAGGTAGGGCACCTCGTCCTTGTTGGCCATGACGCCGGCGATGTCCAGGTGCGCCCAGTGCGGCGCCCTCACGAACTCCTTGAGGAAGGCAGCGGCTGTGCAGGCGCCTCCGGCCCTGCGGGAAGCGAGCACAGGAACGCGTCCGGCACGGCCCGCGGCTCCGCGCTGTGGGAAGGGCGGCGGGGGAGCGCGCTGCGCTGCCTTACCTGCTGTACTTGCCGACGTTGCTCAGGTCGGCCAGCGCACAGTCTGTGACCTGCTTCGTGTAATGCTCAAACAGCGGCATTCTCCAAACTCGGTCTCCCGTCAAAATGCTGGCCTGAAAAAAAAAACAGTGGTTTCAGCAAAGCTCACTGCGGTTTTTATTTTTACTTGCACTCATAAGCACCGCCATAGTCCTGCTTATTTTCATTTGGCTGCAGTCAGTCTATCTAAAAAAAGCTGCTGCCCAAGATAATATTAGGTATTTAGAAATATACTGCAAGACAAAACACTTCATCTTACTTTTAGCATTCATTAGGTTTTGCCTCTAGACTGCCACTGAAAAATGCTAGTTACCTGCAATACTCTTTTTTCCTGCTAATACCGAGTTGCACAGATCCCTCCTCCCATCAGTCACCACAGCTCAGCCATTCGCGTGGCTTCTCTGAATGCGGTACCGTCATGGAAGACCCCTTGCTCCTAACAAAAACTACTTACTGGCAGCAGGACAGAGCTTACGTGCATCACAGCAAGCTCACACAGGACACACATCCCGGAGAAAATGCTGCCTGCTGCCTATCTCTTATATGATACTAACCCATAATAACAAAGGGTCAGCAGTGAACAGTCTGTATTTGCAACTAAATATAAAATATAAATATTCCCACAAGATTTATTAATACACCTTTCAGACTTGCACCCAGTAAGGCTTTCAGGAATGCACTACGTTTTCAGCAACACCAGCTATTACTGACCCATCCCTACTGAACACCACACGTGTCCTACCTCGTACAGGTGAGTCCAAAGCCAGGTCGAGTTTGTGAACACGCCGGTCGCAGCAGACCCTAGAGCTACGTCCATGGCACCTAGAAAGGCACCTTCAAGGTTACACGAGGAAGGACAAAGTCGACTTGAGCTAAGTTTACTTGATCTATTCCTGCATCCTAACCTGCCACAGTGTTTTTAATATCTCAATTACTAATACCCGTAAGTTCTGAAGTACCCCCAAATTAAAGGTTTTAGTACACCTGCATTTATTAAGTTTATTTTTTAAAAAGCTGGTATTTTATGTGAATAAATATGTAGCAGGCATGGGCACATAAACCATGCCCTTCTCATGATCTGCAGGGCATTAGTAACAAAATCTGAGACTTTCACAAACTGACAGATTTCCCCTCTATGGGGGATAACTACAAGTAGCCCTGATGAGACAAATAGCAGCTGAAGCAACATAATTTAAAATAGTAATAATTATTTAATATAAAAATAATGAAAATATTAACCAAAATAATTAAGGTCAGCATAGTGTTGTCTATAAACTACTCTTTTGTGTTTGGTCTCATTTTAGCGGCAGTCACTTCACCCATGACAGCTTGTTACTGCAGTTCACAAGAGCTGTGTATACAATGTTACTCTTGCAGATTTTAAATTTAAAATTACAGCCTTATTTAAATGTATCTGTAGATATGAAACAATTAAAGCACATTTTACTTTGCCTCAAAGTATGCAAACAGCCCATGAGAGAGATTTCAGTCAAATGGCCTTCTGGAGGAGGAGGATGATGATTTGCCTGCTGTGTCTGTTACCCAGACCAACACGGCCTGAGACAGCCCAGCTGGGGGAAGCACTGGGCAGGTCTCAGCTCAGACACTCAAGTGGCAGCTCACAGAGAAGCTCTTGGGCTCCAGCTGGGACATCTGTCCAGATCCACACCAGTCTCTTCACTGCGACAGACACTTGGGGGCACTCGGCTCAGATACCAGGTGCCTTAACTGTGTGCAAGCAGCTCATACACCTCCTGCAAACTGTTCTGTTGGGGAACAAACTGTGCAGAAAAATCCAAGTCTCCTTAGGTTTTGCTAAAGTTTTCAGTTCCAGCTCAGCTGGGCCAGGCCCAAATCCATCTGCATCACCCAGGCTGCACCCTGCTCCCCCTATCCCAATCCTGGGAACAAGCTGCAGCTGGGCAGGCTCTTAGAGCATAAACTGTGCTAGTCCTGGTGCTAAACAACGCAAAGGCATCTCAGCTGCCTCTCAGCTCAGACAGGCTTGTTTCCATAGAAAAGTCAACCCACAGCCCAGGCAACAGGCCTAACAACACACAGGATGAGGACTCTGGTTACCTGTCAAGGTTGCAGCATTCACGATAGCCCTTGCATTAAAACTGTGGGCGTAACAGAGAGCATCAGCCAGCAGCAGTCTCCCTTCTGCATCTGTGTTATCAACCTGCAGGCACATAAATCAAAAAACAATAAAAACATTACTGGATGTCATACTCATCCTCTTAAACAGCTCTTAGTTTGTGACTACAGGCCGCAAGGTAATCAAAGTTTTCTCAAAATAGGAACTCATTTTAGAAACAGTTATAAATTGTTTATAACTGTTATAATTGTTTATAAACTGTTATAACTTGTCTGAGTCACTATCACTTTCTTACAGATTTCTCTTTTCTGAGGAAAATATACCGAGCAGTTTCCTTCAACATCCACTGCCACTGAACTCTGCATTGGGGGAAGAGTTTCAAGAACTGAAAGGTTCAGTAGGTCAAAAATGGCAGAATCACAGAAATCCAGAGAGACTGAGCCATATGTTTCTGCAAATAATTAGCAGACCTCAGCACAATGGCTTTTGGTACCATTTAAGTCCCTGAATTTTTTACAGTGTGGTTTGGATTAAACAAAACACGCATTTAGGGCACTGACTTGGCAAACTACTTGTGAACAGCCAGGTGCTACGACTCAGTTCTGCTTTTTTGGCAGAGCAGCTGGCAAGGTAGAGACCCTGGCTGTGTCAGCAGGAAGCTAATGCTCGTTCATCGTACTCCAGATAGCAGGTAAGCATCCTGAAAGGTCTGCAGGAAGCAATTAAAGCACTACTCACTGCAACTCAGAGCACGTTAATAAGCACTTTAATAGCCTCTTGTGCTGACACAACATTTTCTAGCATGTTCAGTAAGAGACTGACTTCTCAGCTTTTCTAGTAATTTTTGATACATCTAGTCTCTTAAAAGTATATTTATATTTGAAAAAAAATCCTGTGATAGCAATTTCTATTTAATAACATGCTGCTTACATTTAGGAGAATACATTTGCATTGAGTATCTTTTTAAGTGCTCTTTTCAAACATACACTCAGACTGCAGTCATGTTTTTTGTCAGTCAGGTTACAATTTGCTAAAAATACTCAAAACCCAAGTTTCACATTCATACCTGTATTGTTTTTCCATTCTTGGCTCTAACTACATCCCCAGGCTTGTTTGCCTTACCACTGGGCATATTTTCACAGAGGGGTGCCAAACCTCAGAGAGAAAACAAAATATTGTGTTACTGCTGTCACTGTTTATCACTCAGAAAATATACAGAAAAATATTTAGGAAAAAAAATCTCAAAGATTTTCCCCAAATTTTCCTGAAATACACGGTCCAGTTTTCAAATCAATGACATTTCACTGCATGTTACCCCACTATATTCTCTCACCCACACCGTTTTAACAGTAAGTTTTACTTGTAGTTTATGCCTCTGAAAGTGAAATCAGAGGCACTTTAAAACCTAGCAAGTCTTCTGTCAACAGTAGCTTCATCCATCTTTCATATATGAATAATTTGTCACATGTAAGAATATTTATTTCTTACTGAATTCCAAACTTCTCAAATTACCTCTGAGCCATTCAAGTTATTCTCATTGTAAATAAACATTATGCAATGTCAAGAAGTCCAGGAATTGCCACAAAACTCCAGTAACACAAAGAACAAAAAAAAGGATGAGAAAGAGGTAACGTCAAAACTCCAGCTATGAATGAGGTAAGTGAGAACCCACCATTCCCAGGGAGCCCAGCTCCTGGGTAAGCAATAAGTCTAATTATATACAGAGACTTTTGCTGCACCATTTCTAGTTAGGACTGGAATTATCCCATACTTTCAAGGGAGGAATCTCTTGAGGATGTGGAGGTTTCACTGCCCTCTACTGGTTGAAGCATAAAAGGCCCACGAAAATAATAGTTTCCTTTAAGTTGGGGTTCTCAATTTTAAACGTATTGTAGAATAGACGACGTATCCTCAGCAGCCACTTTTGCCACGGTTCCTGTGTCAACTCATTCAGTTCTAGCATGGCAGCACTTATACAAGAATATAAAAGCACTGCTCATACTCAAAAGTAATTTCAGCAAACTTACTTCTTTATTTTTTTGCTGAGACTTTCAACTAGAGAAAAGAGCTGATCTCTCTTCCTGCTCAGCTGGGGCAGGCACTTAGGGAATTAGCTCAGCTAATGCTTTTAATTTCTAAATCTTTTACAGACACCCACATTCCCCCTTGTAATTAAGGGCCAGGACTCCTGCAAAACTTGTGGAAAACGGGAGTTTCTAAACAACCGTAAGATTCCTGAAATCAAAGAATCATGCCCTCAAACTTTGAATTCAGTCTTGCAATATTTTATTAAAGCAAAGCCAGTAATTGTTGATAATAAAGTAAAAGTGGAAGAGAGGTTAAGCAAGGGAGTGAGACATATAGCTCTGCAAGAGTCCATGCTGTTTCTGTAAGACAGCTGCCACGACTGATACTAGGAAAAGCCTTTGTCAAATGCAAGTGTGTGGATTCTCACACCCCGCCACGCTTACCAACTATGTTAAGAGGTAGCTTTAAGGCTGCTGCTGTCACTATGGCAGAACATATGGTCGCTGCTCCTCCCATATCCGCTCTCATTGCATCCATCCCTGATGAAGGCTTCAGGGAAATGCCCCCACTGGAATAAGCATAGCAGGCATCATCCAACATCCACGAGTCAGGCATTATATACTTGATAATATTCACTCCACTCATATGTTTTTAGCTCCATATAGCTGAAAACACCCTAGCATCTGTTGGTGCCCCTGCAACACCCTATTAAGCACAACAGGTAAGATTTGTCCCTTGGTTACTTCCTTGAAATTAGGATACCACAAGACGTACACATCTGCAGCACATTAACAAAACAAACTTTTTTTTTCTTCAGTGGTCATGACAATATCAGAAGAGCACAAAAGAAGAACAAAGTAGTAGACTGCAGATGAGCACACAGACGAGGAAAAGACTGGTAAATTCCTCAGTAGTTACATATGGGGGATGAGAAGGAAATATAAGGAATTACTGCAAAGAACGAATTCTTTTCACTTGGCCTAAATATAATCCAGATGTTCAATGACAAACTGCAATTCTAAACATGTAAATTCTTCACCATGAGGTTTGCTCTGTCTGAAGAGGGGAGAAAAATAAAACAAAACCAAACCCCAGCTCTGTCTGTCTTCCATGGCTTGGCTTTTACAAGCCAAGGGTAGAGCAATTCTACTTTGTCCAGTCACTCGAGCTTGTCTTATCCCCAGGGAAGGCAGCACAATCCACTATATAATTCACTGGAATGATGTTGAAAAATGTGCTGAACAAAGAGAAAGCATCTCCCTGCTGAATATGAGTAGTAGAAAGGCATGTGTTTAATGGGATGAAAGTTAAAAGTGCATGTCTCTCATCTGAGTTCCATCCCTCAGCAACTAGACCATAGTTTTGTTTTTTTTCGTCCCCTCTCCCCCTTTAGTCATTAAAGTTAGCAGCCATACCTGTCAAAAGTAACTCCTTTTCCTACAAACACCAATGGAGAGTCATTGGTATTAGCAGCACCGGAATAGTGAATCTCCAGGAACACGGGAGGTTCGGCCGAACCCTTGGCTACGCTCAGGAATGCTCCCATCTCTTGTGTTGCTATCCAAGACTCTGTTCTGCAATAAAAACATTTAGATTTTAATAACCACATGTCCAAATCACTATTTTTAAAGATTTCCCTCTTTTTCTTTATTATTTTGCAAGCTGTCACTGAAGTCTCACTGTTATAGCTTCTTCATAAAACAAAAATACCACCTCCAAGCTGCTGCTTGGGAGGATTGTTTATTATCCATTGTTCTATACTTTCTGCACTAAAAACATTAATCCTATGGCCTGATGGGCAAGTGGAGTCTTTGAAGGTATATGGAGTAATACTACTGCAGTGGGCTGAGTCTAGTTTTCTGTTGGCAAAATGGATAAAAAGATACAAAGCTGATTTTGTGCATCTTATCTTCTATTCCACTGAAGGGCAGTTACTGGAAATTCAGAAAAAAAGCAGGCTCAAATTCAGTTGCAGGAGCTTTTCTGATTCCATCTTGACAATTTAAAAAATGAAAAATCCCAGCAATTTCCATAAATAGCAGATGCTGAGCTACCACCTCCAAACAAGAAGAAAGAATATGTATAAAGAACGCTTGGGAACAGAAGAAAAGAGAAGCTACTAAAGAGAAGGTTTACAGTCTAAATCACTGATTCCTTATCAGGCTTCCTCTTTCACAGCACTCTTGTCAATTAAGTGATTAATAATTTTACTGTGTCACAACACCTGGCTTAATGGATAACTAAGGTACTTCCTCTCCCCATGCCTTTTTTTTGTTTTTTTTTGTTTGTTTGTTTTTGCCAGAGCCTCCCTCTGTTATTGTCCTGAAATGGCAGAGAGAAAAATCAGAATGCCCTGCAGATTTGAGGGGCTTCTAACATACGTGGTATCTCATCCTCTAGAGGAATCGTTTTAATGGAGCTCACCTTACATGGACCTTCACGGTGCTGCTGAAACCACGCAGCTTCTGCTCAATGCACTCGGCGAATTTGGTGGGCGTTATGAAGTTGGCTGGAGCCTCCATGAGGTACCGAGCGAGGTTCTGACCCTCGGCATAGAGGACGCCTCTCTGCCAGGCTTCACCTTCAGCACTAAACAACATTAGGTAATAACCATCAGGAACATTTGCAAAGTAAAATATTGCCAGCGTTCATCCGTTCTCTCCCGTTTGAAAATGCAATGTCATTAATTTAGGGCAATTAAGAATGTCATTTTACCCCTACTTCAAGGAAATTAGGAATTACACGTTGGATGAAGTCCAAGGTCTGCATCTTCCAGGGTCTCTGATGTTGAGTGGTGCCAAATGCTTCAGAGGAAGCTAGAAAAATCCTGGAGTAGACAGATGTGAAATTATCTGTCCACTGCATTATGTCTTGCTCTAATCCTTCCTAGTCAGAGATTGGCTTAAAACCTCAGCGTAAGGTTTAACATCCTTTCCAAAATTTGTAATCGCATTAATTATAACAGCCCTAACATTCTTATTTATTGTGTAAAGCCTCCAATTCTGTTCTTCACTTTGCTGAAATATGATTATGTGATAAGAGTGGATTTGGATCTCAATTCACAGTGCATTCAAGATATTTCACTAACAACATTCATAAAGTTGACTGCATTGGAAATGGGGATGCCTCCAACTCCTTTGCAAGACAGGCAGGAGAAAGTTTCTCCTTATACTTAGGCAGAACCAAAAATCTTGCTTACTTGCCTTAAAGGTTTTCACTTTTAAAAGTGAGTAATTAATCTAGATTCCCCTATGTCGCTCTTTTGCGGAGTGAAGAGGGAAGCCAAGAGGAACATAGAAACATTGCCTAGATATTCAGGGACGGGATTAGGAAAACCAAATCTGAGCTGGTACTAAAACTGCAAGGGATGTTCAAGGCATCTTCTTGCCCTTCAATCAGTAGTAAAAGGAAGATCAGGATAATGCTTTCCCATTGCTAAAGCCTAGTCATACAGGACACAGAAAAGCCTGAGGTTCTCGATGCCTGCTCAGCATCTCACAGTGCCGAGGACAGTGGCTCTTGGCACCGCAAGGCTGCTCTCCAGCTGACTGAGAGGTCATGGTAACTGCCTGATGACTGGACCCCCTGCTATAACCATCTTCAAGGAGGAAGATAAGGGAACTACATGCCAGTCACCCTAAATTCAGTGCCCAGAAAGGTTACAGAGAAATTATCTTGGAAGCTCTTTCCAGGCCTACAAGACAAGATCTCTGGGAACAGTCATTACAGATTAACCAAGGCAAGTCATACCTGACCATTTATTGCCTCGTCACGAGGTAGCTATTGCAGAGGACAGCCACGGGTGTCTTTTAGCTTGGCTTTAGCAAGGCTTTCTTTATAATTTCACACAGAACTCTCCAAACAAATTGAGAAAACAGATTAAGGCGCAGACTACAAAATCTGTGAAAAACTGGAAGAACTATTATCAAACAATAGCAGACTACAGCTGAAAGTCTGTCAGATGTTGTGCTTGGTGTTCCTCAGGGGCTGATAGTAGAGCTGCAATTACCACCTCCAGCAGTAACCTGGACAATGCAATGCAGCCTCAGCAGCTTCCTGGGCACTTCCACACTGCAGGGAGC